CAGCGGGCAGATGGTTAGAATAAGCAAAGGACGATGTTTGGATGTAAATGGGAGATTTCGACTTTGTTATACCATGAATTATGAATATTTTAAGTTGGATTGTAAGGGGAGTTAGGGGACCTCGTGCATTCTCTCCGTTGCAGAGTTGCAAAGACTTATCAATGAAAATTTCCCTACCTGGATTTTCATTATGGAGAGAGACTAACGTTCAAGGTGCAAAGGCAAATTGATTTTGGAGATTTATTGACTTTTATGATAATTCAATTTTATCGATTTATAAACAGTTGAGTATCGTGACAACTCGCGTAGAGCTCCCTAGTTGCCTCCTTTGCTCGTGGAGGATTTCAATGAAATACTTTCTATCTTAGAAAACGAGGATGGCATCACAACTATTCGTCCATCAATGCACTGTTTCCAAAATAAATCTCTAAGAATATGATCTTGTAGACCTAGGATCGGTTAGACTTAGTTTCACTTGGAAAATCATGTCAAGATGAATTGATGTAATTTCAAAAAGACTGGAAAAATGAGTGTTTTACCCTTCTTAAAGAGTCATTTACAATCGACAATCCATAATCACGAGAAGATCTTTGAATCAGACGAACGAGTTATTGTCCAAGAGCTCTATCCACATTTTAACAGCGCACAATGGCAGCAACGATTTTTCACATTGGAATCACTATGGACGAGGGCAGCTGGGTGCAATAAACTATTGCTAATTCTTAGGTTTCAATCGATACATGATAAACTACAGACTTCAACATCGAGACACCTGGTTGGACAAGAAAATAGTGGTGGGTCTCTTCCAGAGTAAATACAGAATACTCAGGTTGAAATAAATAAAATATTCGAAGGTGGTATATCAGGCCATCTAGTTGGATACTTTCGAGAGCTTGAAAAGCATTTGAATGGACTAAATCAATGAAAAGAGGATTGTTGGACACAATGATTTGTACTACAATATAGATAAAAATTAGTACAAGTGTATAGCTTATGAATTCTACCAATGAAATAAGGAAAAACAATGAGTTACATTTAGTCTTTGTTTGAGCCACATTATTTTTTTCATTCTCATTTTTTTACTCATTTTCAACCACACATTTTTCAATAAAATAATATTTTCCATCATATCAATAACTTTCCTTTCTTTTTCAACAACATATTCCTTATCACATCAAACAAAAAAATGCATTCTTAAACTCAAAATGTGCACCAAATAGGGGTTTAGACTAGATTATCTTTTAGATATTTCTTTCATAAGTAATAATAAGTGGCAAGAGAAAAATTTTATAAATTAATAAGTGCTCCAATGTGTCACAAGCTCTGTTCTAAAAAGCTCCCCTAAGCGACGCCTAGACTCGAAGTTTGATGAAAACGCCTCGCTTTGAGACTAAGCAGTAATTAAGCGGTCAACGACATGTTGACCGCTCGTTGACCGCTTAAAGCGCTCCTAGGCACGCTTAGGAGCGCCTAGGGGCCCTATGCGGCTAGCGCGCTTTTGCCTTGGAGGTCCAAATTTTCCCCCATTTTTAAATATAACCCACA